ATATCGTGCCACTTTTCAGCATACATGCTACCTTCTTTTGTAAGATTAGAAGTTTTTGTCACTTCAAACCCTGCCTACATATTGTTTCAGGAAAACATGGACAGCACCAGTGATGCATTGGCATCCATGCTTAGACAGCTTGGAGACGACAATGAAGAAATCTCTTGGCCTCCTTCAGGGGAGGTTTTGGCCAAGCTGCGACAGGTTTGTAATTCTCATACCACCTCTGTACAGACTGGAGCTCCTGGTAATATGGAGACTTCTGGTGGCATTTGCAGGCACTTCTATGCAACCAGTTTTTACCCACGTGGAACACCCTTGTTCTCTGTTCTGCCAATTTTCAGGAAGTCGAGCAATGGGATGAGGATGGCCGCATTGATGAGAAGTTTCTTGCCTCAGTGTCAGCTCAATTGAGACAGGTATTTCCAACAATACATGTGTCCAGTCCTTTTCCCTGGTAGTTTATTCATGTAAGAGAGTTTCACACAGGCTGTTGCTGTGTTCTATTGTGCAGGCTACAGAGGCCACAGATAAGCCTGGGCTTGTGGCCATCTTGCAGAAGGTCCTTCAGTTGTACGCCTCAGCTCGTCTAGGTCGAAGGAGCTATGCAACTCGCCGTATGTACTCCTTGTACACGTTGAAGTCGTGTATAATGTTTATTTTTTCTTACAGTATTTAAGCCTGTGCAATGTTTACCTGTCCTCTCCCATATCTGTGCAGGTGATGGTACCATTGATGAGGCTGAGAAGTTTCTGGAAGCACTGATACAAGGTGTGAAAAGAATGTTTTTGAAGAGACAAACCATACAAAGCATAAGCAGCTACATTGCACAGCAGCTACTTGAAAGAATGGCTGACACAATTGAAAAAACATGCTTGCAGCTCCTGAAGAGACTTGGGACTCTCTTCTTCAAACCCGCCTCACTTGTGGAGGTGGAAGTCTTCCAGAAGCTGATTTGTATACCGCCCTCGAGAAGAGGGCAGAGAGACTCTTCATGCGCACTGTAAGTAGACACTGCTCTGACCTTTCTTCAACTGCAACTTCAATGCTCCCATCCGTCCATCCGTCTAATTGCCTTTCAACTGCAACGACTCTTCACCTGCAGGAAAGCGGCTCATATGAGCAGAGAATACTGGGAGAGTACTTGAAAGAACTGGAGGCACGAGCCCGAGCAGTTGCTGCTGCCTACTCCACACCTCCTCAGCTGCCATCCTGAACAGCGGACATAAAAGCTTGAATCCAGGGTAGCGGTACTGCAAATTCAGTGAATCATTTGCTAAAAAAATCCACCCAGAGAAAGTAGGCATGAGCTTGTGATAGGCTTCCTTTCCACACGCTTGAAGGGGCTTCTTGCATTGTGAGAGAATGCTGGCTGTTGCACCTCCGATCCAGAGGATCCTCGTTTGCAATGATCAGGTACCTGGATAGAATGAAGAAAGCAATTATTTCAATATCCATGTCAAGACAGTGAAATAGTGCTCTGTAGTAGGCTGGAACATACAGGAACATGTGTTGCGCCATGGCACTTCAATGCCTTGTCGTCCAATGCCCAAAGCCCTGAACAGCAAAACCTTTTGGTGAAATTTAAAATCGTATTGGCCAACAAGGAAACACAAATGAAGCAATCAGAAAAGACATACCTGGTTGTGATGTTGCCAAGTGAGCAGTTGGCCTGTAAATCAGGGCATGCTGCTGAATCAACCTTGGGTGTACCATGCTCCCAGAAAAGCAGGCTAAAACAGAACCGTCTCTGACATTATGTTTCTCTTGCACTTCACAGCCCTGGAGAAAAACACAGGCACAACTAATATCAGATTCTGTGTAGATCAAAAACTAGTCCTCTGCAAATAGTCAATTTCTTACCTCCATGTAGGGCTCATGTGGCATGTGCAGACTCCCCATATCGTGCAGCCCATTCTGCATGCGCCTCTTCTTCGCATGGCGCGGTGTGGCCTTGCCTTCTGTCCCAACAAGGAGAGGCTGCGGAGGGGCAACAAGGACACGTGACCCCTTTTGCAGCTGCACTGAGGGTGTTTGCCCCTGGTGACCAGCACTGTCGACTGCTTGCAGTTGAGTTCCTGGCAGCTTGAAGGACGGAATGCTCGAGTTGAAAATGAAGCTTGAGTTACTCCCATTGTCACATGGAAGGAAGTGCCATGGAGAAACTCCATTGACAGATGGTGACTTACCATTAACCGCACAAGTTGCATGCAAACCTGCATACGAACAATGACGGGCTTTTAGACCAGTTACATAAGAATCCTCAAACATCCAAATCTCAGTTCAAGTACCATTCTGGTTCCCTCGAGGTGATTCCTTCTTGTTAGCAAGCTTGCTAAGTCTGCGCCTGTGCTTCGCCTCCGCCCTGAGAGAGAAAATGACTTGCTCAGCTGGTAGCATCTCCAAAACTGGAACCTCGTCCCCATATTCTGCGAATTACACTTCAGATGTTAAAAGGGCTAAAAAGGTCTACCAAAAAGACACAGCCCATAAATTTACATTGTGGAAAAGTCTATACCTGAAAGGGGGAGGTTGATTGTTGTGCATTGCCTCCCAAAAATTGAAATCGCAGCTCTGTCATGAGCCCTTGCTGCGTCCTTCTCGTCGTCCCAATTTCCAAGATATCTGCAAACGACAAGCCAAGTTGTTGAATGATGGAGAAAAACCAACAAATCACAGCGTGTAAAGACAGAGGTGTACATTTTTCGCCTGGAGTTGTAGAGGTAGGCTTCCCATCTGCCGCTTGGATCAGAAGACACTCCCGAGAACCTGTGCTTCTTCGTCTGATCCACTTCAAATTCCGTACTCTGAGGAGGAGTCACTGGCGCCAATGAGTTCTCTGGAGTAAGTGTCACCCTGCAGAGGATACGTTTGATGGACATGAGTGAAAAAGTTTCAAACCAAACCACAGTAGCATTTCAAAGGACAACTCCCTTACTTTGTAGCTCCTCCAATTGCATCCGTCTTCCCCAAATCAAGCTTCAATCTCTTGCTCGCCGGTTCATATGTTAAGCTCGACCTTGGCATTGCAGGAACCAGGTCAGGCATACTGCTGAGTGACTCCTGAACGGATGCCATCGGAAACTTTGCGGAATCGGTAGATGTTGGCGTGTAGGGAGAGCCTAACGTCAGGTTAAGCTGGTCAAAGTCCATTTACAATGAGCAGAAACTTCTAGCTTCTGCTGTAGTACTGGGCAGCCACCAGAATGGTCCGAGATTTGAAAAGGAGGTGGAGAAGAAGTCCTCGGAATGGCTAAGCGGAGATGCGCAACGGAAATAAAATGTTGCTTCACGATATGACAACCTGTGCTAGCTGGGCCTCCGATTGTAATCGACAGCCACCGCCACCAGGTTGCTTAAGGTGGGACAGACACGGCAAACGTCACCCTGGCTCACCGAAACAAGCTCGAGGTGATGGCCATCACTCAATCGATGAACTCATTCACTGAAGCCTACAACTGGGCGGCCGGCTTTGGTATGTAAGCAGCGACAACAGCCACCAGTTAAGTAGGAGCCCGTAGATTCGACACTGCTCTCTCTTGCCATTGCTGCTGTGTCCTCCAGAGACTTTGATTCTCGGGCGGGCGTCCTTGATCTTCTGCAATTGTCGCGAGCATCTCGATGGGACGAATCTGACTCATGAAAGCCTGATTGGCATCTGTGTTTCTCTTAAATGATTAATGCATTCAGGTCGGCATTGCCTTGTCAACCCACCCTTCGTGATTAACTCAGGGGCACTACCTAGGTCTCTTGGGTCTCCAAAGGGCAAGAAAGAATCCATTCGAATGACACGTCAGGAGTCCAAATCCCACCGGATCAAGGAATGCATGCTTCCTGCACGTGGCGGTGATAGGCTGACGCATGGCGATATTCACGTGAGCGAAACAGCGGGAACTGGTGGTAAGCCACTATACATTTCACTCTGCCCCCTCTTAAGTCATGATAGCTCTCCTCTCAGTCTAGCTGCTGATCGGCAATCACAGGTGGCAGTGCCAGCAAACTCGTGCTCGCCTCCTGCATGCGTGAAGCCACGCAGGTAGCTCTCAAGAATTTCTGGATAGAAGAGCGGATCTAGGCAGGTGGCCGTCAGAAGTAAAATATATAGGAGCACTTGCACGGAAAAGGGCCACAAGCGGTGCGAGCAATCTAGCACAGAACAATTTGGTGTGGCTGAGATGTGTTGCGCTCTTTATTGAGTTCTCTTTGAAGCAAGGAGTGTGATAAATACAGCATTTCTTATCTTAGTTGGCACAAAACCTGACTATGGCTACTTCTGCTAGCTAGTTACAACTGGATGTGCGTGATCCCTAAAACGCTTTCCATTTTCTTGGGGAATATTCTGGTGGTGTAGGAGAGCAGTTTTTGGCTGCACAAACACATGCTGACCTGATTTACGTCGGTTCCCTGGGTTTTTTCAACGATTAGTAGTGAAGGCAATGTAGGAGATTATGTGAGTTGTGTTTGGGTAGTACTGCGATCAATAACGGAGATGCTGGAAAATCAAGGTGATCTGTTCATCAGACTCCTCCCGGCACTTCGCATCGCATGCTTCCTGATCTGTAGATAGAGCCTGGTTTCAATACCACTCTGTGGTAGCTATAACTAGCCATTGACACGCCTTTTCCGCTGCCATAATCCGTACCTGAAACCGGTGGTATCCACGATGGATGCCTTCGAGAGTTATTTCCGAGCGGCGGACACGAATGGCGACGGAGTCATTAGCGGGGCGGAGGCTGTGACCTTCTTTCGACGATCCGGCCTTCCTCAGATGACTCTCGCAAAGGCACGTCCAGCGAATACTTTACGGCATTAACTCTGAAAAAACGGCATCACCGTGGCACAACCTCTGGCGGTGCCCTCGTCCTGTTCCCATTCGTCCAAATAACATCTCTTTCGTGTGCGGTAGTCTCGTATCGTGTGCGACAGCGTCGCGTCGCTTGCGATAGCGTGCGAGCATGCAAACGGTCCTTCTCGAGGGCTCATATCAGCCATTCTTTGTCATGCATCCCTGTCTCTACCCCACTCCTTCATCCGCCATCCACCACTTCTCACGTCTTGTCATTCACCACGACACCCGTTCCCGCTGCCATCGTACTCTCTCGTCTATCCGTACCGTCGCGCCTATGCAACTGTGACAATACTCGGGTTTGCGTCAGGCTGGCGCGTTCACCCGAATCTGAACGTGACTCAGAGTCCATTCTCCACCCTACCTCCCTTAACACTACCCCCTGGTCTGTCATCTGCCACCCTCACCACCACTCCCTGTCTGCAATCTACCACTCTTAACGCAACCCCTTGTTTGTAACCGCAACCGCCCCTCTACAGGTGCAGTACTTGGACGTGCGTCAGGCGAGCTCCCTCACCCGAATCTGAACATGGCTCACCACCCTTGCCACTCACTACCCCCCTGTCTGTCTCACAATCCCTGCAGGTGTGGCAGTACTCGGACGTGCGTCAGGCTGGCTCGCTCACGCGCCCCGAGTTCTTCAACGCGCTGCGCCTTGTCACTGTAGCGCAGTCGGGCCGCGACCTCACCCCCGACCTCGTGCGCGCCGCGCTCAACGGCCCTGCCGCCTCGCAGATCCCTCCTCCTCGCATCGCGGGAGCTCCTTCTCCTGCCACTGCTCCATCCCCCGCCACTGCTGCTCCTGCGGGTGGTGCTTCTGCCCTCCCTGCTGCTCGAGGCCCTGTTCCTGCTCCGTCTGGTGTTGCCGCTGCTGCAGCACCTGTTGCTGCCGCTGCTCCTGCTGTTGCTGCACCATCTGCTGCAGGAGCAGCAGCAGCACCCCAGCTACCCCGACGCCCGTCGCCTACTCCCACTCGTCCCGGGATGGGACCAGGCGCCGTTTCTGCCCCACAGCCTCTCTCCTCCTTCCCTTCTGGCCTCAGCGTAGGCTCCTCCAGCGCAGGACTAGGCTCGGGAGGATTGACAGCCGCAGCAGCAGCAGCGGGATTGAAGCCGAAGCAGCCTGGCGCTCTGTCAGACGTTTTCGCTGAGTTTGGTTCGTTTGATGTTAAGTCCAAGTCCGTGCAGCCTACTAGTGCGCCTGTGAGGCGGGAGGTACCGGAGTCGTTGCAGCAGCAGCAGCAGCAAGCGCAGATGGGGACCATTCAGCTGCAGCAGCAGATGGCTGCTAAGCAGCAACAGGATCAGTTGCAGCAACAGCAGCAGCAGTTGCAGCAGCAACAACAACAGCAGTCGCAGCAGCAGCAGCAGCAGCAGCAACAGCAGCTACAGCAACAACAGGCGTTCCCACCACCACAGCAGCAGTCGGCAGGGGAGGGGATGCCATCCCAAGGACCTGCACCTGCTGCCGCCGCGTCCGCCCCTGCTGCCCCTTCTGCACCTACCACTGCCGGCCTCTCTGCTGCCGACCAAAGCATGTCCTCTATTGCGCAGCCTCCTCCCGCCCCTGCTCCGGCTGCTGCTCCTGCCGCGCCTGCTGCTTCTGAACCCACAGCAGCAAGTTCAGGAGCTGCAGATCCTGGTATGCAGGCAGCAGCAGCAGTCCAGAATGCAGACAAGAAAGGAGCAGGTGGAGTGAGCACAGGCGCACCAGGAGCAGCAGTAACGGCAGAGGGAGCAGGAGGAAAGGTGAAACGGACAGCGGACGACATTGCAAAGGCGTCCCTGAATGCTTTCCTTATAGGAGGTGTTTCTAACGCCATGGTGCCCAAGCAACCCCCAGGCACAGCCCCAGCCCCAGCTGCAGTAGGAGGAGCGGCAGGAACAGGGCAGTTCGTTCCAAGCCAAGCCATCGTGCCTGCGGCTGCTGCTCCTGGTGCTGTTGTCGCTGCTGGGATGGCAGCAGCAACAGCAGGGGGAGCAGCAGCAGCAGCAGGGGGGGCAACAGGAGGGGGTTATGTGATGGTTCCAGGTGACCCTCAGCCATGGCCCCGACTCACAGTCGCAGAGGTGCAGCGCTGTGCACAGGTGTTCAGTGCGGTGGACACGGATAGAGATGGGAAGATCACAGGAGAGCAGGCGAGGAAGCTGCTGATGAGCTACAAGGTCCCTATCGGTGAGCTCTCCTCCCGGCCGGCTCTTTCCCACCCCACTACCCCCTTACCTCTGCCACCCACTGCCTCCGCCCCTCCCATTTTGCTCCTTATCTTGTCTCCACTCCTCGTTGTTTCCCTTGTCTCCCTGTCACCTCTTCCCCTTTGGCATCTGACTCCATCACTCTGCCGTTCCGCTCCCCTCTCCTCCTCCCTCTTCCCACCCGCCTCCCAGACGTGCTGAAGCGGGTGTGGGACATGGCAGACCAGGACAAGGACGGCATGCTCACCCTGCGAGAGCTCTGCACCGCTCTGTACCTCATCAACCATGTGAAGGCGGGCCGACAGCTGCCGCCCACCCTGCCCCAGGGCATTCACTTGGACGAGCAGGTGCCACCCCCCGCTGCTGCTTCTTCTGCGCCTGCTGCAGCTTCAGCCGCTGTGTCAGCCAGCGCAGCCGGCCCTACTGCTGCTGCTGCTGCTGCTGGGCCGGGAGGGGAGGGAGGAGGGGGTGCAGCAGGTGGGGCTGGTGCAGCAGGTGGGGCTGGTGCACCAGCAGTTACTGCTTGGAGACACCAGCCAGGTGCGTTGGGGGGGGGGGGGGGGGGGGCAAGGGGCATGCATGGAATACTGTGAGGCCTTGCTGTGCGCGTGTGCTTGTAGGCCTGAACATGTTCGTGCAATGCTCCATACGAGTGTATGCTATTTTGGATCAGCATAGGACAGCTAGTCGTAGTAGTGCCTTGACACTGTTTGGATCACTGTAGGTTTTGGGTGCGCTCTTGTGCATTGCTTGCCTCATCCGCGGTTCCCCCTGCGAATCATCCTTTCAACCACCTCCCGTATCGTGCCTGCAGTGAGTGGCACACCCGAGCAGCAGCAGCAGCAGCAACAGCGACCAACAGTAGTGGTGCGTCAATAATCCCCTTCCAATCCTTTTCTTATGCCCATATCATGCCTTTCGCTTTCTTCTTCTCCTCCATAACGGTCCCATCCCACCCTCCTTCCCTCCCTCGCGTCCTCCCTCCCATCCCTCGCCCCTTCCCACCCCCTCTGTGCATCCTGATCTGCTTCATTTCCCTCTCTCCTAAATCTGGATATCTTTTTGTTTGTTTGTTTTAACCTTAGCTTGTGATATCAGAACCTAAAATGTTTCATCTCCCAAGCAACCTAACCCATGCCCGTGGCCCACCACGCAACCCCACGCACACCCATCAGCTGACGGCGTGGGGCAGATGCCGGTGCCAGAGGAAAGCGAGAACAGAACTCTTCACAATGCACTCCATACCCACTGCACCCCACCTGCATAACCCCACCCCACAATCCCACGCACACCCACATCAGCTGACGGGCGTGGGGCAGATGCCAGTGCCAGCAGAAGCAGGAGACGTGGATGCATCCCGGCCCGTGTACCGCTCCCAGGCGCCCGACCTGGAGGCGGAGAAGGTGGCTCAGCTGGACGCGGAGGAAAGGGAGAAGCTTGAGAGCAAGCACAAGGAGGCGGAGGAGATTGGGAAGAAGGTCAGTAAGATGTCCTTATTGGGAAGAAGGTAAGCAGGGGGGAGTGAGGGGGATGGGGCGGGGTTGACGGGGAGGAACACATTAACTTGGTGTTGTGAGGTTCTGTGAACTCCTTTGCTTGCTGGTTGCTGCTGCCTCAGCCCCTCAGCCCGTCCAACCCTCTTCTCCCCGCCCCACTGCCTCCCTCGCGCTCACTCCCTCTTGCTCACTCTCTCGTTCACACTCTCTTGCTCACTCTTCCAACACTGTTGATTGTGTGCATGACTGTCCCCGTGTCTGTTTGACTGCCCCCGTGTGTGCATGAATGTCCTCCCCCCCCCCCTTCTGGTGTGCGCATGCTGGCACGGGCAGGTGTGGGAGACGGAGCTACAGATAGCGGACTACAGGCGCAAGATTGACTTCTACCGTGTCAAGATGCAGGAGATCGTCAGCCCGCTCTAGCCATTCCATGCCACTCCATTCCATTCGACCATATTATGCCATTTGCTCTCGCTTCATAAGATGCAATGCAGCTCGTCCTTTCATCAATCCCATTGCTCTGCATGTCCTAGAATGGCAGTCACCAGTCTTCTTGTCAGGTTGCATGCACACATGTCTCATCTCTAGCCGTCCATTTTATTTAATCCCTGCTCCTGTGTGCCTGTCCAATTCCCCCCCTGCGTTTGTGCATGCGTGTGTCGCGCGCTACCCTGTGCGGGGCAGATCATGTTCAAGAGCCGCTGTGACAACCGCTTGAACGATGTCACGGAGCAAGTCGCAGCGGAGAAGAGACATGTGAGTGCCACGCAAACGCATTGCGAATGCTTTGATCGAACAATGAGACACCTCTAATGGTTTCAGTGTTGACATTGCTTTAACGTGTGACGCCTCAGCTCAAGCCTTCCTATCAACATGTGTCCTTTGTCTTGATTCCCCTAACCCTCTCCATCACCTCCAATGCACCCGTGGTGTGATGTGGTGTGGCGTGGTGCGGTGCGGTGTGGCATGGCATGGGCATGGCAGTACGACATGCTCTGCAAGCGCTACGACGAGCGCTTCAAGGCGTCCATGCCAGGTGTCAAGTCGCGATTGGCCTACGAGGACAGCGTGCTCAAGGAATTGCAGGTGGGTGGCTCGATGTTGCTTCTGCCTGCTGCTGCTTGGGTTGGTGCCTCTCATCATCCATATCTCTTCTCCACCATGCCATGTGCCTCCATGCCAAGAAATCTTCGCACGTGCCACTCCTTGTGTCAACCCACCGCCTCCTCACGTGCCACCCCACGTGCTGCCATCCCACCTCACCAGGAGCGCAAGGCGGCGCTGATGGAGGTGGTGTCGCGATTCCATGCCACCACCACTGCTGACGCCTCCGACCTGCTGCAGGTGCGTGCATTGCTCACTGCCAGCTGGGTCCTGCAATTCTTGCTGCATGTGCATCCTTGCGCGCTGCAGCCGGCACCTCTCCGCTCCACTCCTCTCATCGCTCATCTCCTCCCTGACCCTCCTGAGCCTCCTGACTCCCCTCCTGCCTCATGCCAGGGCCGCGCGGACAAGCTGGGCATGGACCTGGAGGACGCACGGAGGGCCATGAACAGGCAGGCCAAGGACCTGGGGCTCAAAGTGCGCCCGCTGCTCGGCGCTGCCTCTGGGCCTGATGGTGGGTTGCTCGTGCTGACACGCACACTTGCTGAATTGTGGTTCTTGCTCTCTTTTTTTCCTTTCTGGTTCGTCCATATTGACAGCGCTTGTTGAGCCGTCGTTCAACTCATCTATCGACCTCTGCATGCATGTTCTGCTTGGCATGATTCTTGTTCTGCCCTCCATGCATTCACTGCATGTGCACGGATGCATGCATGCTGCTCTGCACACGCTGCTATACTTGTATGCATGAATGCATGTGCATGCATGCATGCTGCTATGGTCGTATGCATGCATGCAGCGTGGCGAGTGGCCCTACAGGAGAACATGGCGGACTGTGATGATGACTGGGACGAGTTCATGGACCAAGGTGAGGCCATGCCGGGTGATGAGCGGTGAAGTGAGGTGGGGTGAGGTGTGATGATGACTGGGACGAGTTCATGGACCAAGGTGAGCATGGGTGGAGGTGTGCGAGGGGGTGTTGCAGGTTTCTGCACCACTATGAGGTCAGAGCACCGAGTAAAATGGTGGTGGACCAGAAGGTGGTGCGTTTGTCATATGCCTACCTGCCCCCTCTCTCTTCTGCACTGCGTGCTCATTTACCCTAAATCCACTGCCCCCATCTCTCTCACCCCCTCTCCATTCTGCCTCCCCTGCACCCGCTTCTGGTGCTCGCCTCGCCTGGACGTACCAACACCTGCCTGTCTTCCCTCTCCAACCCTACATCTCCCCGTCCCCCTTCACAGGCTTCTCAGTGGTGCGATCGCGCACAGACGACCTGCTGGGGGGAGAAGATGATGAGCTGGCGCCCCTCATCCCCCTCAGCCCCATCGACCCCTCCACCCCGTCCCCTGCCCCCTGCCCCCTGCCCTTTGCCCCTGCTGCTGCCCCCACCCCCCCCTTCACAGGCTTCTCAGTGGTGCGATCGCGCACAGACGACCTGTTAGGGGGAGACGATGACGAGCCGGCGCCTCTCATCCCTCTCGGCCCCGTCACCCCCTCCGCCCCATCCCTTGCCCCGGGTGCTGCTGCCGCTCCTGCTGCTACCCTTGGTTCTGATGCCGCCGCTGGTGGTGCTGCTGGCGGTGCTGTGTCGGCTTGGGCCCTATTGGAGGAGGAGGAGGAGAGGAGGGCGCGGGAGGATGGGGAAGAAGGGGAGGGAGAGGAGGAAGAGGAGGAGGAAGGAAGGGAGGAGGGTGGGGGGGTTGGGCAGCTGGGTGGGTGGTCTAGAGGTAGTGGGAGGGGGCGGGGGGGGATGGGCGAGGAGGAGGAGGAGGGGGGGCATGTTGAGGAGGAGGAGCCTGAGACGCCTCAAGGGTGAGTCTTTTTCACTTGTAATTTATAAAAAAGTTTATCCCTATGCCTCTCTGCAGTATTCTGGAAAACATCAGTCGTTGCCTTCATTTCAGGCCGCTGACATCCTCGTATCTGAATCGTATCCTCCCTTTCGTTCTGTGCCCAACATTCCCATCAATCCCATCGGTCTCGCTTACCCTCCTCCCCATGTCCTGTGCCGTCACCTGCTCTTACCCCTCGGTGCTCTCAGCCCATCGGCGTGGGACAACCGGTTTGGCTTCACAGCCTCAGGGGTGGACTCGCCCTCTGTCTCCCAGGTCAGCGCTCCTCCTCCCATCATGCTGCTGCCACTGCTTTACCCCCCTCCTCTCTTCCCTGCCCTTACCACTGCCACTGCTTCACCCCTCTCCTCTCACCTGTCCCTCTCAACCCCTTTCTATGCCTCCTCCTCTGTTCCGAGTTATAAATACACTGGGTACCGTTCCCGAAGTTTTTTTTTTTTTTTTTTCGCTTGCCCTTCTTGTCTCCTGCATCCCATCCCATTCCTCTCCATTCACCAATCACAGTCCATGGATTTCCAGCCCTCAGCCTTCGCCGCCCAGGACTTTGCCTCGGGATTCGACCATCATTTCGATGCCACAGGCTCGGGCTTCCGAGCCCCCAGCCAGTATGACTCCAACTTCCGAGCCTCCAGTGAGTTTGACTCGCATGCGCATCCAGAAGACTCAGCTTCTGAGCAGTCAGGGCTGGGGTTTGGCCGCCCAGACGATTACGGTGAGGTGGCTTCGGGCGGCGCTGCAGGATTTGATTCTGCAGCGGGGTTTGATTCTGCATATGGAAGTGGGCGGGGCAGCGGTGTGTCGGCGTCGCGATTTGATGAGCATGTGGGGGAGGAGGATGCATCGTCTGCAGACAACACACCCATGGCAGGCGCAGGGGGACACTTTTCTCAGCGCGGGTGGGGTGCTTTCTGAACATCAATGCAACACACCTGATACTTAATGTTACCTTACAACCACTATACTAAGGGATACTCTGCACTGCAAGGGTTGATGTGTGATGCTTGACTTATCAGGGACGATTGCATGCCAAGTTGAAGCATTGGGTAAGTGCAACAAGGTTTTCGTGTCTTTCACTCCACTCCAGTGACTGAAACTTATTACAATGTTGTTAGTAACTTATGGTGGGGCTACTGTGCAAATCACTACCATCACAGTGCTGCCTGCCGCCTAAATGCCAGTCCCAGATAAAACCTCTGCACCAGTGGGTCCTCCAACACCTCCTCCGGCGTGCCACACGCCACCACCCTGCCTTCATGCATCACATACGCACGTTCACACATATCTGACATCACAATACTGCCTGTCGAGCAAATGCCGACCCCAGATAGAACCTCTGCACCAGTGGGTCCTCCAACACTTGCTCGGGCGTGCCACACGCCACCACCCTCCCTTCATGCATCACATATGCGCGGTCACACACCCCCAGTGTCTCCGCCACGTTGTGATCCGTGATGAGAATGGCCATGGCGTCCTGCTCCCTCAGCGCACACAGCATGCTCTGCATCAGCTGCACGCCTATGGGGTCCACGCCTGCGAACGGCTCGTCCACCATTAGTAACCGCGGCGGGTTGCATTCGCTGTCCTTTACTGCCAGGGCTCGAGCAACCTCCTGTTGGCCAGTGCAGGTTGGGGGAGGGGAGGATAGGGAATGGGGAGGGAGAGGATGGGGAGCAGCATGGCGTGGTGTGCAGAGCTGCTGCGCCACATGAGTGCAGGCCTGTCAGTGTCTCTTTCAGCATGGGCAAACCAAGACACATGTAAGCGTGCATGCGGGTGCACGAATACATGCACATGCAACATGACATTCGGATGCACGTACCGCTCTTCGCCTCTCTCCACCGGACAGGTGGCGGCCCATAGTGTGTGCCACGTGGACCAGGTCAAACTTGCGTAGCAGCTCCTGCGAGGGCGAGGGGAGGGTGGGGAGAAGTTGAGAGGGATTGAGGGACGAGAGGTGAGATGAGGGCAGCGGGGGGGAGAGTGAATGCAGAGAACATGCCACAGGCCACAGTGGGCATGGCATGGCATGGCCACGCCATGGGCACAGCATGAGCATGCATCCACAAATCCATGCATGCAAGCACGTGCGCACCTCAATCTGGGCGTCATGGAGGTGGTGGGGCAGCGGCCCTTCCTCGAGAACAAGCCGAATGTTATCGGCCACGCTGAGCCCGTGGAAGATGCTCGCCTGCTGCGCCAGGAACAAGCTGACTGCTGGGTCAACTCAAAAGCACATGCGCACCTCTATCCGGGCGTCATGCAGGTGATATGGTAGGGGTCCCTCCTCCAGCACGAGCCGTATGTTATCCGCCACGCTGAGCCCCCGAAAGATGCTCGCCTCCTGAGCCAGAAACGCCACGCCCATCCGCGCCCGCCGCTCGAGCGGCAGCCCCGTGACGTCAGCGCCGCCCAATCGCACGGCGCCAGCTGTCGGGGTCTCGCGGCCGACCGCGATGCTGAAGGTGGTGCTCTTGCCCGCGCCGTTGGGACCCAGCAGACCCACCTGTAGGGGAAATAAATAGGAGAGGGGAGGGGGGTTGTTGGCATGGTAATGGTGCCATTTGGGATGGGTGACAAATGGGACGGCGACGCTGAAGGTGGTGCTCTTGCCCGCGCCGTTGGGCCCCAGCAGACCCACCTGTAGCGGCGGGGGACGAGAGAGGGGGGTGGTTGGGATGGTGATGGCTGTGATGGGAAGAGAGGAGCGATTGGAGAGGATTCGCGGCAAGAGGGGATAACGGTAGCAGAAGCATATGTTAACGTGGAACCCTCACGAGGTAACATGTGTGAGGGGGATAAGAGGGGCGGAAGGAAACCCCAAGGGACGGAACGGCAGGAAAAGAGGTAGTTACGATTTCTTGCGGGTTAACGTGGAGTGACACGTCATCCAGAATTACTCGGTTGCCGAATCTCATCCCAATCCCTTGCAGGTCCAAAGACCGCGATTCTGCGACCTGCTTGCTTGCGCCGTCGTCGCTCGCACCGTCTCGCTCTGCCACATCGCTCGCCAAAGTGCTGCTCTGCGACAGCCAAGCAGATCGCACGGATCGCAAGACGATTAAGGAACGACTGAAAGACTGAAACTTGGAAAACACGCTGACGACTGTGTGACAATGGGATTACCATCTGAGAGTTCTGCCCCACGACGAATCGCGAAACGGGAGCGAACGTCGCCTAGATCGCATCCGACTTCTGGCGCAAAGCGGCGCAAGAGCTCGACATGGTGTAACAGCAGCCCTCGAGAAAAGAGCCGTGACGTTTCGAGCGCCCAGATTAGCCATAACCAAGCTTCCTATCGCACTTCACTGAGAGAAAGGAGCGCAGATGTTGCAAAAGCGCCAGAATCTTCAGGGCATGCGATGCGACTGGTGCGACAGGAAATGGGGGCAAATTGAATGGCAGGCGATTTTGCAGTGTTGGGAGTGACGATGGTTGGTGAAATATCGAGGAGGGTGTTGGCGACAAACTCGTCTGTGCGAAATACTCTCGCAAATCGTGATTGCATTTTTGCGTTGCCGCCTTTCCTCCCATTCCACTTCCCCGCCAAAGCGGAAATGCACCGCCCTGTAACTCACAACATCGTATCTTAACCGTTGTCACCGAGGAGAAAGTAAGGTGTGTGCACACGTTATCTCCTACAGCATCACCTTGCAGCAGGCACGGTACATCTGACAGCGCCACGCGTAAATTAGGTCAACCACCCGACTTGTTCATTCTTCCATTGCCTTTGTGGTGCGTTGAGTCGGTCGTTTCTCCTTGCCCATCTAATTGCTCGTTATCTAATCTTCTCTCTCCTATCCCCCGTCGTCATCTCTTATTAACCGTGTCCTGGTGTGGTGGTAACTGCCGTCTCCTGACGCCCAGTCGATTTCCTCGTGAATCATTTGTGACGTCGAAACTAGTAATTTTCTCGTTGTCTGTCTCTAACAATGCATATCATTGAATGATAGGATGAAGCTTCTGGGAGACAGCTATGGAACAGCGTGAACCCTAGCTCGCGTATAACGCCGTTTCGTTCGTTCCCTTAGGACCCGACAAACAGTTAGGAGCGTAACCGTTTACTCTGCGTAACTTTGTACTCCTACCTGGTTCCGTCCCTCCGTAACCACCGCACTGACTCTTTCCCAATCTCGCATTGCGCAATAAAGAGCCATGGACGACTGTGACTGTATCGGAGGGCAGTGGGCGACGGACGACCTGCTAGTCCGCTACCAGTACGTCTCCGATTTCTTCATCGCCCTCGCTTACTTCTCCATCCCGCTCGAATTAATCTACTTCGTAAAAAAATCCGCGGTCTTCCCGTACCGATGGGTGCTGGTCCAATTCGGCGCGTTCATAGTTCTCTGCGGCACCACGCATCTCATCAACATGTGGACCTTTCGCGAACACACGCGAACCGTCGCCTTCGTCATGACCATCGCGAAGGTTCTCACCGCCGTGGTGTCGTGCGCGACGGCGCTCATGCTCGTGCACATCATTCCCGACCTTCTCTCCGTGAAAACCCGCGAGCTGTTCTTAAAGAATAAAGCCGCGGAGCTGGATCGCGAGATGGGATTAATCCGCACGCAGGAGGAGACGGGGCGGCACGTGCGCATGCTGACGCACGAGATCCGGTCGTCGCTGGACCGCCCGACGATTCTCAACACGACGCTCGTGGAGCTGGGGCGCACGCTGCAGCTCGACGAGTGCGCGCTCTGGATGCCCGCCAACCTTGCGGGTAAGAAACTGGGTAGTGGTTGCCGTCTTTACCCAGCTGCCTGCGCGGTGAGTGCGTGTGCGGACCCCAGTGTGGGAGGGGGTTGCTCTGTTCGATCATGGAGCTGGGGCGCGCGCTGCAGCTCGACGAGTGCGCGCTCTGGATGCCCGCCAACCTCGCGGGTGAGAGGTTGGGGCGATGGGGGTGGCAGTTGGTGTTGTTGGTGCGTGGGGCGATGATTGGGCCGAGAAGAGGGGTTGAGTATAATGGCGGGTGAGATCATGAGGAGATAAGCCTGGAAACTGGAGTAGAGTTAGCCAGGTGATAGGGCAGGTGTGGGATTGAGTGGTCGTCACCATCTCTGCCTTGCTGCTTTCACTATTCTCACTATCCTTTTCCCCACCCCTTTTTTCTCTCCCATCATCTTCTCTCCCCTCTCCTCCCACCATTACCCTGCTCTCCTCCCATAATCACCTCCCCCTCCACCCTCCTTAATTCCCGTCCTCGTTTTACCATCCTCCCCCTCCATCCACCACCCACCCCCCTTCCCAGGCGATGAAGACGAGGACGGCGGAGGGTCCCCATCGGACCTACAGCTCATTCACACGCTGCATCAGCCCAAGCCCCCGCCAGTCACCGTCATGCTCGCACACCCCACAGTGAAGCAGGTCTTCAGCACGAGCCGCGCCGTCGTCATCTCGCCCAACTCGCCCGTCACCGCCATCCCGGGCGGCGGTGGGCGGGCGGGCAGCAACCGCTACGTGGCCGGCGACGTCGTCGCGGTGCGCATCCCGCTCCTCCACGCCAACACGTTCACGGGCGGCGGGGCGGGCGGCGCGGGCGGCAGCGACTGGCAGGACTCGCGGGAGAGGAGCTACGCGCTGCTCGTCCTCATGCTCCCAGCCGACAGCGCGCGCCGGTGGCACGTACACGAGCTAGAAATGGTAGAAGTGGTGGCGGATCAAGTGGCTGTCGCGCTCTCACACGCGGCCATCCTAGAAGAGTCCATGCACGCGCGGGATCTTCTCATGGAGCAGAACGTGGCTCTCGACCACGCGCGGGCGCAGGCCGAGAAAGCCATTCGCGCGCGAAACGATTTCTTAGCCGTTATGAACCACGAGATGCGCACGCCCATGCACGCCATCATCGCTCTCTCCACGCTTCTCCAGGAGACAGAACTGACTCCGGAGCAGCGCAGCATGGTTGACACTGTGCTGAAATCCAGTAATCTCCTCGCGACGCTCATTCACGATGTGCTAGACCTCTCCCACCTGGAAGACGGCAGCATGCTGCTTGATGTCCGCACGTTCAATCTCCACGGGACCTTCCGGGAGGTGGCCTCGCTGGTGAAACCGGTCGCATCGGTGAAAAAGCTGGGAGTGACGCTAAGGTTGCAGTCGGACGTGCCGGAGTTTGCGGCCGGGGATGAGAGGAGGCTGCTGCAGACGGCGCTGAATGTGGTGGGCAATGCCGTGAAGTTCACCAGGGACGGCAGCATCACCATTACGGTGTGCCTGGAGAGGCCTGAGTTTCAGCGCGACAAGAACTTTCCGAAGTTTGTGCCGGTGGTGGCGCTGGGGGACAAGCACTACTTCATCCGCGTGCAGGTGAGTGGCACTGGGTGGGGCTATGGCTCTTGCTGGTGCTTCCAGTGCTGCTTTTGGTTGCTCACTTTTGGGTCACTTGGATCCTTCCACCCCCCTCTCGCCCCCATCCCCACCCCTATCCTCATGGCGAGCAAGAGCAGGAGAAGGGGCAGAGGCAGGAGGACCAGCGGAAGCTGCGTTTGCTCACGTGTGTGGAAACTGGTATCCTTGTTTCCCTTCCTCTTCCCTCCCGCCCACCCTATCTTATCCGAGAGCAGGTGAAGGACACGGGAGTGGGGTTGAGGCAGGAGGACCAGAGGAAGCTGTTCAGCAAGTTCGTGCAGGCAGACGCCACCACCACGCGCAACTACGGTGGCACGGGGCTGGGGCTCGCCATCTGCAAGCGGTGAGTTTTGAGTCGACTGGGGCTCGCCATCTGCAAGCGGTGAGTGAGATGTGGGGGAGGGGAGGTAGGGAGCGAGTGAGAGGCAGGGGGATCAGAGGAAGCTGTTCAGCAAGTTCGTGCAGGCAGACGCCACCACCACGCGCAACTATGCCGGCACTGGTTTGGAACTCGCCATTTGCAAGCGGTGAGTGAGATGTGGGGGAGGGGAGGTAGGGGGCGAGTGAGAGGCAGGGGGACCAGAGGAAGCTGTTCAGCAAGTTCGTGCAGGCAGACGCCACCACCACGCGCAACTATGCCGGCACTGGTTTGGAACTCGCCATTTGCAAGCGGTGAGGGGGGGGGGGGGGAAGACGTGGTAGAGGTGCCAGCCAGGGGGATAGTGGTGGGATGGGAAGAAGGGAGATGGGAGGGGTAGAGGGGGCAAGAGACAGTGGCTAGTTTGTGCAGTGGTAGAGGGGGCAAGAGACAGTGGCTAGTTTGTGCAGTGGTAGAGGGGGCAAGAGACAGTGGCTAGTTTGTGCAGTGGTAGAGGGGGCAAGAGACAGTGGCTAGTTTGTGCAGTGGTAGAGGGGGCAAGAGACAGTGGCTAGTTTGTGCAGTGGTAGAGGGGGCAAGAGACAGTGGCTAGTTTGTGCAGTGGTAGAGGGGGCAAGAGACAGTGGCTAGTTTGTGCAGTGGTAGAGGGGGCAAGAGACAGTGGCTAGTTTGTGCAGTGGTAGAGGGGGCAAGAGACAGTGGCTAGTTTGTGCAGTGGTAGAGGGGGCAAGAGACAGTGGCTAGTTTGTGCAGTGGTAGAGGGGGCAAGAGACAGTGGCTAGTTTGTGCAGTGGTAGAGGGGGCAAGAGACAGTGGCTAGTTTGTGCAGTGGTAGAGGGGGCAAGAGACAGTGGCTAGTTTGTGCAGTGGTAGAGGGGGCAAGAGACAGTGGCTAGTTTGTGCAGTGGTAGAGGGGGCAAGAGACAGTGGCTAGTTTGTGCAGTGGTAGAGGGGGCAAGAGACAGTGGCTAGTTTGTGCAGTGGTAGAGGGGGCAAGAGACAGTGGCTAGTTTGTGCAGTGGTAGAGGGGGCAAGAGACAGTGGCTAGTTTGTGCAGTGGTAGAGGGGGCAAGAGACAGTGGCTAGTTTGTGCAGTGGTAGAGGGGGCAAGAGACAGTGGCTAGTTTGTGCAGTGGTAGAGGGGGCAAGAGACAGTGGCTAGTTTGTGCAGTGGTAGAGGGGGCAAGAGACAGTGGCTAGTTTGTGCAGTGGTAGAGTGGGCAAGAGAAAGTGGCTAGTTTGTGCAGTGGTAGAGGGGGCAAGAGACAGTGGCTAGTTTGTGCAGTGGTAGAGGGGGCAAGAGACAGTGGCTAGTTTGTGCAGTGGTAGAGGGGGCAAGAGACAGTGGCTAGTTTGTGCAGTGGTAGAGGGGGCAAGAGACAGTGGCTAGTTTGTGCAGTGGTAGAGGGGGCAAGAGACAGTGGCTAGTTTGTGCAGTGGTAGAGGGGGCAAGAGACAGTGGCTAGTTTGTGCAGTGGTAGAGGGGGCAAGAGACAGTGGCTAGTTTGTGCAGTGGTAGAGGGGGCAAGAGACAGTGGCTAGTTTGTGCAGTGGTAGAGGGGGCAAGAGACAGTGGCTAGTTTGTGCAGTGGTAGAGGGGGCAAGAGACAGTGGCTAGTTTGTGCAGTGGTAGAGGGGGCAAGAGACAGTGGCTAGTTTGTGCAGTGGTAGAGGGGGCAAGAGACAGTGGCTAGTTTGTGCAGTGGTAGAGTGGGCAAGAGACAGTGGCTAGTTTGTGCAGTGGTAGAGGGGGCAAGAGACAGTGGCTAGTTTGTGCAGTGGTAGAGGGGGCAAGAGACAGTGGCTAGTTTGTGCAGTGGTAGAGTGGGCAAGAGACAGTGGCTAGTTTGTGCAGAGGTAGAGGGGGCAAGAGACAGTGGCTAGTTTGTGCAGTGGTAGAGGGGGCAAGAGACAGTGGCTAGTTTGTGCAGTGGTAGAGGGGGCAAGAGACAGTGGCTAGTTTGTGCAGTGGTAGAGGGGGCAAGAGACAGTGGCTAGTTTGTGCAGTGGTAGAGGGGGCAAGAGACAGTGGCTAGTTTGTGCAGGCGGATGCCACCACCAATCGCACTCACGGCGGCATGGGACTGGGCCTTGCCGTCTGCAAGCGGTGAGAAGGGGGGTTAGATGGTAGGGGGGTAGTGGCAGAGGGTAGTGGCAGAGGGTAGTGGCAGAGGGTAGTGGCAGAGGGTAGTGGCAGAGGGTAGTGGCAGAGGGTAGTGGCAATGCACATTGCAGGAGGATGCCACCACCACTCGCAATCACGGCGGCATGGGACTGGGCCTTGCCGTCTGCAAGCGGTGAGGGGTGGGGGGGGAGGGGTAGCCGGGTAATGGTTGTGGACTGGACAGGGAAGGGAGATAGGGGGATAGGTAAGCACACTGCAGGCAGACGTTTGAGTCGACTCAAAAGTCAACAGGGAAGGGAGATAGGGGGATAGGTAAGCACACTGCAGGCAGACATTTGAGTCGACTCAAAAGTCAACAGGGAAGGGAGATAGGGGGATAGGTAAGCACACTGCAGGCAGACGCCACCACCACTCGCAACTACGGGGGCGGGGGCCTGGACCTCGCTATTTGCAAGCGGTGAGAAAGGTGTGGTGAGGGGGGAGGGCACGGGGCTGGGCATCGCTATTTACTAGCCTCTTTTCCCCCCTGGCCGTTCCATATCCACCCATCCCTCTTTCTCCCTCCCCCCCCCTCCACCACCTTCCCCCAGCTTCGTGAGCATGATGGGGGGGCACTTCTGGGTGGAGAGCGAGGGGCCGGGCAAGGGATGACATTTATACCCTTATGTCCCCATGCCCTCCATAGCCACCCATTTCTCTTTCCCCTCGCCTCTTCCCCTTTCCCCCTCCCCCTCCCAGCTTCGTGAGCATGATGGGCGGCCATATCTGGGTGGAGAGCGAGGGGCCGGGCAAGGGCACGACGGTGACGTTTGTGGTGCGCCTGGGGCTGCCGGAGAAGGCGGACGACCGCACCAAGGCGGGCAACGCGGGGCAGAAGCAGGCTGCTGGCGGCGCTGGTGGGGCCACCAAGGCTGTCGATTTCACAGGGCTCAAAGTGCTCGTGTGTGATGATAACCAGTGAGTGCAACAATAGCCTGTGATTGTGGGGGATGCTAATAACCAGTGAGTGCGGGGAAGGTAATAGTTAGTGAGCAACGCGGGACCCGCGGGGCAGAAGTAGGCTGCTGGCGGCGCTGGTGGGGCCACCAAGGCGGTGGACTTCACTGGGCTCTCGAAGTGCTCGTGTGTGATGATAACCAGTGAGTGCAACAATAGCCAGTGGGTGCGAGGGATGAGAGGGAGTGAGGGTATAGGTGTGATTGGTTTCGGCTTGCACTGGTGCTTCCTCACTGCTATATCAATGTATACTCTCAGAAGAACCTTTGTCCTGTCACCCGCTTACCCGTCTGTGCTTGCCTCGTCAGGGAGGGAATTTACTCCTCCATCCTCATCCTTCCCCCCTATCTACTCCCCCCTTTCCCCCATCTCCCCTCAGTGTGAACCGCATGGTGACGAAGCGCATGGTCACTCGACTGGGCTGCGAGGTCACTGTGGTGGGGTCGGGCCGCGAGTGCCTGGCTGCTCTTGCCGGGCCAGGCCACGGCTTTAAGGTGCGCTGGCAGGGGATAGGGAAGGGTGGAGTAAGGGTTGCAGGGGAGGGTGTGAGCTACGGGTGCAGGAGAGCTGTGTGGTGCAGAGGAGAGGGGCGTTAGAGGTTGGACATGACCCATGCGAGAGCCTTGTTGCTCTTGCTCAGGTAGGGCTGAGCAGGAGGTGAGGTTAGGGGTATGCTGCCCTGCTGTGCTGCTCCCTCCGACTCCGTACCCTCTCTTCCTCTCTCCCTCTTATTCCCTCCTATCCCACCCGTTTCCTCCCCAACCCTCTCCTCCCGTACCCCTTCCCCCTAGCAACAGGTGCTGCTTCAGGATCTGATGATGCCAGACATGGATGGTTATGAAGTTGCCAAGCGAGTGATCGACCACATCAAAAACCTCCTTTGCACATCCAATGACCAACACCATCTCTGCGGTTATCTCTTTGCAAACCACTTTTCTCTCTTCACAAATCTTTCCTCTCACACTAACAGGTGCTGCTACAGGATCTGATGATGCCGGACATGGACGGCTACAAGGTGGCAAAGCGACCCATTCACCCTTGCTCTGGTTCTCTCTTTGCGACGCCCCGCCTGCCCTACCCCCCCTCTCTCCCCACGAACAGGTGCTACTCCAGGATCTGATGATGCCGGATATGGATGGCTACGAGGTGGCCAAGCGAGTCATCGACCGAATCAAGAACCCCGACGAGCGCCCGCGCATAGCGGCGCTGACAGCCAACACGGACCAGGCCACCAAGGACCGCTGCCTCAGCATCGGCATGGACGGGGTCATCACCAAGCCCATCTCGCTCGAGAAGATGAGGATTGTCTTCACGGAGCTCATGACCCTCGGGAAGATCGTGTCCGATCCCAAGGCTTAAGATTCTGGTGCAGGGGTGTGCAGTGCGGTTCAGATGTGTGTAGGGAGTGGGCATGGATGAGATGATCACCAAGCCTCTTGCTCAAGAAGATGCGCATTGTCTTTACGGAGCTCATGACCCTTGGGAAGATCGTGTCCAATTCCAAGGCCTAAAGCACTGTTCCCGGGGTTTATTCAGGACAGGATGTCCTGTTGGGGAGTGTGCAGTGCGGTTTGCAGGTTTGCAGGCAGTGGATATGGATGCAATGACAACGAAGCTTGCCCTATGTTTGGAAAAGATGCAGATTGTCAACACAGAGCGTATGTGCTCTGTAAATTGGGACCAATTTCAAGTTTTAGAATTCTTCTCTTTAGATAGCAGGAGGGTCAGCGTGTCTGGGTTTGTGGATGTGGTGTGCAATCAGGATTCTGGTGGACATATCTTCAAATAATAGCCCTAAGAAAGGCAGGCTGGTTCCCATGACTATCCCCACAATGAGTAGACAAGCAACAAGGTAGCAAAACTGGCTGAGTTCACAGCAAGGTATTGCAGCTGGACAGACCATTGTGCATTCTAGCCACTGATTGGCAAGTACTATCGTATTAGTTTGTATCCCACTTTATTGAACTGGGAAAAGCAGCTGCTGTTCCTAAGGCTAAGAGTGATTCACGTCTAAAAGGAAGGGGGTAAACCCTTTACATTTCAATCTGCCCACCAGGAGCATCAGCCCTGCAAGAGAGGTAAGCCATGGTAGGAAGGCACAGGCAAGGAGAAAAGAGTTAATTCAACAAGCTACTGCAAAGACAGCTCGCAGACTTCTCACTCTCATGCACACAAAACTATGTCAAACTGTCACAATCTGCCCATTCGTATTGCATCCTCTCGAGGCTGCTTCTGTCTACTGAGTACCGCAATCTGACCACTCATTTCCGCCTCCCAGACACTCGCTTCTGCCATGCGTCCCCTAGATCCGCAACCTAACCACTCCATTCTGTAATCGTCGATCCGGTTACAGCGTACTGTTGATTCCAGGCACAGAGTGCTAGCGCTCCACCTTCAAAGCGCCTAGCCCACATACCCAAAGCTCCAGTCATGTGGCGTCAGTGGTGTCATGCGAAATGGTTAGTGGTGTCATGCGAACGGGTCAGTGGTGACATGCCATGCCCTCAGATGCTACCCTAAACGGAAAGTCCACGAGATGATTCGTTCTCTGGGCTGGACAATACGCAGTGTACTGCGGACACTAGTATTATTTGACATACAACCTACGTTTGCACCCTGCTCTTCACTCGTTCACAAGGATTTACAGGACGTACCCGGTGTAGCCGAATTTGGCGCGGTGGATATTGCGCTGTCGGATCCAGCAGATGCAGACGCACAAGAGGCAGAACGCCATGCCGAAAGTCACTCCTGGAAAAGGGCAAGGGGAGCACGCAGCGCGGGAGTCAATCAACAATGATCTTTAACATCCTTTATCGTCTCACCCCACCCTCTCTTACTCCTTATTGTTCACTGTCCCTCCACTTTCTCCCAAGAAAAAGCTGGTTACATCGCGCACGACCGGGATGACGATTGTATGACAGTGCGACGTTTGTACTTCGGATAACAAATTTCACAGCGAACGATGTACTTTGGTTGGATGAGTATCTGATAATCACGTAAAGAGCAGCGATGGCTGATGCGAACTGGCCGATAGCCAGGCGACTGGCGTGGTGGCGATGTGAAGGGTCCGAATCAAACGAGTTCAAAGATGTTCGCAACAGACTATAATCACTCACCGAGTGCATCCTGAGCTGTGCGTCAAACTCGAAAGCGGCTCGCTACGGGTTGTGAGGGCTCACCGAGAACAATGCCGATGATGCCTTCGGGACCAATCCCGTCGCTCTGCATCTTCGTGTACGTCCCTTGGAAGTCGTACTTGGAATAAAAGTCGCCCTCCACTGTTCCCGCCTGTTCTGTGGGCGTCAGACCTGACGGCTCGGTAGCATCGCCGCCGACAACGGTGCCGGCCGGCATGTTCTCCATGTCCTGCGCGATCTGCTCGTCCGTCTTAGGAGGCTCATCCGCCGGCGGCTCATCGACCGGCGCTTCGTCAGCTGGCGGCTGGTCGGCGGGAATGTCTTCAGGCGGAATGTCCTGGTTGAAGGGGTCTTGGGGCACGCCCTGCTCGCCGTCTGCAGGCACGTTTGCTGGGTAGTCCCCCTCTCCCTCGCCGGCGAATCCCGCGTTTTGCGGCTCTGGCGGGTAGTCCTCATTCGCCGCTGGATCTTGCGCTTGGCATCGGGTAGACGACAGAACTAGGCAGACCAAGGACAGAAGGATAGTCAGCCGAGCGAATCTCGCCATTTTTTAAAGTCCGAAATCACCGACGCAATGCCTCAACTCAGTCCGTTACCTATAATAAAACTAGCAGGAATTGAGACCTTCGTAACTGAACTGAGAAACCAAAATGCTTGCTTGAAGAATGGCCTGCGTCTGTGAAGTGCTGATAACCAGAAATATTCCCTGAGCTCAATCAGCAAAACCAAACTGGGGGGCCAAGCTTGAGGGAAGATGTTGCGCGCGCTACCTAGGCGGTAGGTACGGTCTTCGGTGTTTCGCCAAGCTGGAAGTGGTTCGTGCGAGCCTTGGGTTAAGGGCGGGTCAAAAAAGTACGTCCCATTGCGGTTCAAAAAGGTTGAGGCTTGATTCAGAGCGGTCGTTTTTAAACACGAGATGGTTGGGTAGGGTTTTCTGCGAAAACGTGCAAAGTTTGACCCGCCCCTATCACGTCAAAACCGCTTTCGCCGAGCCTCAAGGCGCGGTGCCTCCTTGGTCCGGCTGGGTCACATCTCCCATTTGCGTCGCTAGAGCGTCGCACACAGGTATCTTAGGTTGCTGCGTCAATCTGCTCTGTCGTCGTCACCCCCGAAAGCGAAGGATTCGGGGTATGGGAAGTTCCAAAAGCACGTCCCGGCGGGAAGTGCAGGTTCGGAAATATGCGAAGTCGGAGGTTACCACTGCAATTTATCAGGCTGCAAATCTTCCACTTTCGCAGAGCGACTGGAACAAGCGGGTGCTTGTGGCGAGAGTCTGGGGCAAGCTGGCCCGTCTTGAGCGACCACTCCCAGACCAATCACCTGAGAGACAGCATCGCTCATCCAACAACCCCAATCACATGACACTGTCGCTCATGCAACCCTCTCCGTGCAGGCTTCCACATAACCTGGGAAAGTCTTCCACCTGCGACGCGGTAACAAATCATCCTCGATACCGACTCAGCATGCGATGTTTTCTTGAAGGGTTCAAGTGTAACATAAACCATTAGACAAGCTACTCAGGGTTTGGTGTAAACAGGCACAATTGTTCTGTCCTTGAGGGGTAACCGTTCTCGCGCCATCTCGGACATCCCGTGCGTTTCGTATGGTGCGGTGCTTCCCATCCAAATGAATAAAAACGTCGAGCCGCGTGAACGGCCGGATCGCATCTCATCGAAATTGTGCCCAACATTTCAACATTTCGGCACACCACACCACGCATCCTTGACTGCTCCAACAAGGCAAAGTCAACCCCTCATCGCATTTCACAGATCTGGCTTCCTCTTGATCTCATCTCACCTCTCCTCCATTCCATTCATCAGTAGGTGCTGCTCCGTCGGGGTCACGTGCACTTTTCTGAATCTTTTGTGCACCCCACACTTCCGCGCCTCAATCTCGGCAATACGTTTCCTTTTTTATCGTGTCGGTTTCCCATAGAACGCGTAGTGCCAGGCTTCCCTTAGATGGAAAGCAAGGCGCCACGAGTGGGCAACATTTGTCAAGCAAAGCGCAGATGGTAGAGTAGCCAGAAAGGGAGAAAACATACACTGGAATGCAGTGGACTACTGAAGGAGACAGAGAAATAGACATAGAGAGAGACCTTGATACGAGCATTCACTGACCGCGTCATGGACGGCCAAGATTCTGGCCCGCGGAATTACTGCACTTCCTCCAATCGTATCTCAAAACAGCGATCCTATTCCTCGGCCTTCCGCCGCGTCCTCCTCTTCCCCCTCCTCCTAACACTTCTGGGAACACCCGTTCTGCCACACGCCCATGCCTCCCTTCACACGGACCTGCCAAAGTACAGGATTTCAAGTCCTCTCACCAACGGATCACTGTCGCCGCCACGTGGACAGCATTGGCCATGGAGATTGGAATCGACGGAGGGGAATTACGGAGACGAGGTGGCAGTTGAGGAACGGCGAACTGACCCGAGCCTCTACCGCGTCTCTCTCTCTTTCGCTCGTGACCTTTTGCAGAGGGGTGAAAAAATTACTCGCGACACTGGTAGGAATAGTGGGGCTAGTACTCGGCAGCCGACAGGTGAAGCGAGGGCGAATGCGACAGCTGCACAAGCAGCGAAGAAAAAACCGGCGAGAAAGACTTCGAGTAAAGAAGGGAGTAAAGGAGGTTCGGCATCAGCGGCGCAGACAGGAGACAGCAAGGGGAGTGCAGCGGCAGGGAAGCAAGAAAAAGACGCGGTGGTTTCTCTTCTCGTGCCGGCTCGCAATACGACCAAGCCCGCCGCTACTAGCCGTAATGCAAGCTCTAATTTAAGTTCTAGAATGCCCGACCCGAGTAGTAGTAATTCGACCAAGCCTTCTGACAAGCTGCCCGCGAAGAATGGCAGCCGCGGGAAGCTTCCCTCTGCATCACCAAAGGTTCCGGTCGCTGGCAAGTCAAACGCGTCCGCGGCAAGTCCATCGGGCAGCAAGAGGTGGAGCAAGGGAGCACCGTCCGCGGGAACGAAGCCGCCGGCGCAAGGCGGAACACCCGCGCAAGGCGGAACACCCGCGCAGGGCGGAACACCCGCGCAGAGCGAACCCGGCTCGCAGGCGAATGAACCTGGAGGAGCCACGTCAGCGTCGCGACACAAGGCAACCAGATCCCCCTCGCCTATGAAGATTCCGTCACAGAGCAAACAGCCGTCGCAGAGCAAACAGCCGTCGCAGAGCAAACAGCCGTCGCAGAGCAAACAGCCGTCGCAGAGCAAACAGCCGTCGCAGAGCAAACAGCCGTCGCAGAGCAAACAGCCGTCGCAGAGCAAACAGCCGTCGCAGAGCAAACAGCCTTCACAGGGCAAAAAGCCGTCACAGGGCAAGCAACCCTCTGCCAAGCAGCCGGCTACCAAACCAGGCACTACCAAACCACCACCCCGGACCAAACCACCTCTAAATACAAAACAACCCCCGCAAACCAAACCCACACCTGGGTCCCAGACTACCAAGCCTCCCACCCATACCAGGCTGCCCACCCAACCCAAGCCTTCCACCATTCCGAAACCTCCAGTACAGACCAAACCTCCTACCCAATCTAAGCCAGCCAATCAGACGAAGCCGCCGGCGCATACCAAACCTCCTGCTGAAGCGAAACCTCCCAGCAAAGGCAAGCCGTCAGGCGCTCCACCAATCAGACCCAAGATTCAGCTGTTCCACGTGGCAGGCAATAATTCGTTCTGCCTGGATGGCAGGTACGTCTCTGACGGGTTGTGCTCGCGTGGCATTTGTATGGCTTCACACGTCAATAAAACCTTCAATGCATATTGTACGTGTGTGTGTATATCTTTTGTGCGTGTGAGGGGGGATGATGGGAGGGGGAGGGTTGTCTGTGTGTGTGTGTGTGTGTGTGTGCTCTCTTCGCGTGGCTATTGTGCCCATTGTGTGCTCTGCATGTATTGCATGTATTGCATGTATTGCGTGTATTGTGTGTGTGCGTGTGTGTGTGCGTGTGTGTGTGCGTGTGTGTGTGCGTGTGTGTGTGCGTGTGTGTGTGCGTGTGTGTGTGCGTGTGTGTGTGCGTGTGTGCGTGCGTGTGTGCGTGTGTGCGTGCGTGTGTGCGTGTGTGTGTGCGTGTGTGTGTGCGTGTGTGTGTGCGTGTGTGTGTGCGTGTGTGTGTGCGTGTGTGTGTGCGTGTGTGTGTGTGTGTGTGTGCGTGTGTGTGTGCGTGTGTGTGTGCGTGTGTGTGTGCGTGCGTGTGTGCGTGCGTGTGTGCGTGTGTGTGTGCGTGCGAGTGTGTGCGAGCAGCCCGCCAGCCTACTACTTCCGCCAGGGCTATGGCAATGGCTCCAACTCATGGCTCGTCTACCTGCATGTAAGTTGGGCTATCTACTGTTCGCCAGGGACTGGGTACGGGGACTGATTACATGTGGGACGCCTTACCTGCTCCTGCTTCCATCCATCTGAATGTCACTGTTTCTCCGCTCCCCATCTCCCGCTTCTCGTCTCCCCCTTCCCATCTCCCGCTTCTCGTCTCCCCCTTCCCATCTCCCGCTTCTCGTCTCCCCCTTCCGATCTCCCGCTTCTCGTCTCCCCCTTCCCATCTCCCGCTTCTCGTCTCCCCCTTCCCATCTCCCGCTTCTCGTCTCCCCCTTCCCATCTCCCGCTTCTCATCTCCCCCTCCTCAATCCCTCCCTGTCAGGGCGGCGAGTGGGTGTCTCAACTTCAACGACTGTGCCTCGTGTCTCATCTCCCCGTTCCTCATCTCCCCCTCCCCATCTCCCGTATCTCTATCTCCACTCCCCAATCTCCCATGTCAGGGTGGCGGGTGGTGCCTCAACTTCAACGACTGTGCCTTGCGAGCCGACTCCTACCGCGGGTCCTCCCGCTACTGGCCCTCGCCCTCCTCGCCCTCCAATCTCACCCACCTAGTATGCCCACTCCTTCTCACATGCCCACGTTCCCATATGCCTCCGTGTGCCCACGTGCCTACATGTACACATGCGCTTGTTCTCATGCTCGTGTTCCTGCTTCTTTCATCAGCCCCATGCCTCATACATTCCCTTCCACATTCCCACTCCCACGCACCTTTTCTTCGCCTCGTGTTTTAACCTTCATCTCCCCACTCTCTTTTTTCCTTCCCACCATGTCAGATGGCTGGTTACCGCATGAGCTTCACAGGCATACTCAGCGGCAACGCAGCCAACAACCCCTTTTTCCACAACTGGAACATGGCAGTTGTCATGTACTGCGACGGAGGCGCTTATATGGGGTACAAAGGACGCATGCAGCAGGGCTCTAAGAGAGTCTTCCTCTCAGGCCACCACATTCTCAAGAACACTCTGATTGACCTGCAGCAGCGGAGGGGCATGGGAACAGCAGCATCGGCTCTCATCGCCGGGTGTTCAGCGGGAGGGCAGGCTGTCGCAGTGGGGTGTGACTGGATGGCCTCGTTTCTGCCACGCTCCGCTAAAGTCAAGTGCGCTACTGATGCGTCCTTCTTTCTGGGTATGACCCCGTCTTGTATGCTGCCTCGATGTTGCCACCGTTGGTTCGCTGCTTAGAGGTGTCTTTGTGGCATTTTTGTGGTTGCTTTGCCCTGCTGCTTTCGAGCGTGCCCTTCCTCCCTGTCATGCTACCCTTCTCATCCCTATGCTGCTGTTTGATACAAAGGGTGACATAGCAGGGTGGTTTGCCCATTGAGGCTGTGTACCCTTCTATTACCTCCTTGCCCCGCCTCTTATGACTCATCTGTCTCTCGCCCACTGCCTTCAGATGAGGCGGACATCACAGGGCAGTTCACATTCCGATCCTATATGCAGCGCATGATTGCCTCCCATTGGTCCGATCGATCTCTCAACACTGAGTGCCTAAAAGGTACAGAGAATGCTTTCTTAATGTATAAACCTGTTTCTTTCACACCTTTCCTACTTTCCGTTTTCTTGTTTCGTTCTACACATAAAGCTGATACGAGTGTGTTCATTGTTTTCCTGTCCCCCTACTGCAGCCAACACGGGGAATGGCACATGGAAGTGCATCATGCCCCGTACTGCACTGGAGTACAGTAAGAAACCCACACTTGTTGTCAACAGCGTGTTTGATTTGACCGCACTATACATGTCCTTGGCCCGTGGCAAAATCCATGGGGGTGCTCTTACACAATCAGCAACGACATGCCTCAGCTCAAATGGCTTCTCGTCTTGCCCAGCAAGCGTCCTGAAGTTCATCACACTTCATGGAAGCATGTTTCGGAGCTCAATATCATCCCTCCTACAAGTCAAGGCAGCAAGAAACGTCCCATTCCGTTCGTGGATATCTAATGGAACAAGCCATTGCGCATTGGCATATTCCAATTGGTCAGAAGCAAACCCAAATGGCTTGGTGCTAAGAGATGCAGTGGCCAGGTGGTTTGCTGAAAACTAGGTCACTTCTCAATTTTGTATACTAGCACCTACAGAGAGAAGCTATGTATGTCTATGTATGTAGTCGATTTACCAATCGAACTGGATTGTAGAGCTTAGAGATTTTTTTTCCTCAACCACAAGCCAATGAGGCTTGACTTTCACAAATGTTTCAATCGGTGCCGTCGAGGCCAATATCGAACGGCGGAAAGCTGGTCTTGGCACGGAAGTCCGCTCGCCACGGCGGCGGGCCCGCCGAGGCAATGGGCGCTTCACGCGGCACTTTGTGCGTGCACCATCCCCGCAACACCGCAACACAATCCAGCGTGTCGCGCAACTATGTCCTTGGAAATTCCCCGAAGCTCCGCATTTTGCCCCTGCTGATCCCAATTTCTTCTCGATTGCCGCTCCGTTTGGCATAGCAAACCCTCTTGTTCCCCTGTAGTTCCGCCAGTCATTCTCCCCACGAATCGTTTGTTCTCCTTCCAACAAATCCACGTACAGCTGCTGCAAACAGAACCCCCCCTCCCCGTCATTCTTTCTAGTCTCGCTCCCCCCTCCCCTCGTACTCCCTCCCCACTTCCATCTTCTCCGCTCCCCTTCGCTCCACCCCCCCTGCTCCACTTCATTCTCCGCCACCTCAACACCATCAACCCCGCCGAAGGCTGCGGAACTTGCGCATGGAAAACTCACAGCAAACCCGCCTCACTAGGCTGATGGTGCCTTTGAGAAGACACCCTAGGGTAGTTCAGTCCAGCCTTGTACTCCGTGCCGTCCTCTTTGTCAGTGAGGTCGGCTGCTTCCGTAATCTCCCACCCACGCTTCGCGTCGCACGTGTAAACCTCGGATCATCCTTTATTTTTTGCGAGTCCAGCCGAATTTCGTACTACGGAACGTTCGACGCTTGTACCTTTTTTTCTCACGGCTCGTCAGCTTTTCTTTTGGAAGATTCAGCGGGGTCTACGAGCAGGCATTGTTTCGCAAACAACCTTCCTAAGCAGATTTTTTGTATATTCCAGAAGTCAAGACAAAGAGGATCTCTTGTCCTGCTGTGCGTATCGTTGGCCTGAACAACATCGGTATTAAACAACAGTAGCAGAATAACTTGGCCTGTCCGACAGCCGTTTCCTAGTCTACAGAATTCGCATCGTACGCCGTCTTAGAGATCCTGAAACCGATGGACTCCACGCGCGACGACGTGCACACACCCAGCAAGCGGCACAAAGGCTACAACGGCTTCCCTACTCCCACAGACGGCCACGAGCAGCAACCGCCGCAATCATCGCCGTCTCCTTCCCCTGGTCAAGCCCAGGCGCAGTATTCCGCGCAACAAGCGTACGCCTCTCCGCAGCAAGCGTACGGCGCACCCCAGCAATTCACCTCCCCGCAGCAACCGTACGCGTCCCCTCATCAACCATTCAACACGCCGGTCACCGCGTCGCATGCAGTCGGCCCGGTTTCTGGAAACAACGGGATCGGTGGATCGCCCTTGACTACCGCCATGGCTCCCCCCAGCGCTCCGTCAGTCGCGCTGGAGCTAACGCATGGCGGCTCCAAACCTGTCTCCGCTGCCTCTACCCCTGTCCGCGCGCATTTTGCCGACGCGTCTCAATCTACCCCTGTCCGCGCGCACCAACCGCACTCCCCCTCCCCCGCCTCCGCTGCTGCGCACGCGTCTGCGGTCACGGTTGTGCAGGCATCTCCGCTTACTGTTGCGCCCAGTCCCTCCCCATCTCCCGCTACGGGTACTCCCGGAGCCGTCGCAGCGTCGCCAGGCGGAGTAGGTGCGTCGCCGGGTGGAGTAGGACCGTCGCCAGGAGGAGTCGCAGCGTCGCCAGGGGTCGCAGGGTCAATGCACGACCCGCCGTGCGCGGCGTGCAAGTCGCTGCGGCGGAAGTGCACGCGCGAGTGCATCTTCCTGCCCTACTTTCCCCGTGACGATCCTGAGAAGTTTGCGCGCGTGCACAAGGTGTTCGGAGCCAGTAACGTGTCCAAGATGCTGCAGGTGAGCCCAACTGAATACCCTCACCTTCTCTAATGGTCTCATGGCCTGTCTCGCCCTACTCTCATCATTCCCCTGACAATTCCTTATCCGACTGTTGGATGTTCTGTACTTGGCATGCCGCATTGTACCCAAGCCCAATTTCCCATCTTATCAACACAACTGATTTGCAGTTTCCCATTGCTCTTTTCTCCCTTGTGTTCATGCCCTGTGGCCGTGACTGCACCATGCATCAGGAACTGCCCCTACACCAGAGGGAGGATGCAGTGGCGAGTCTAGAGTATGAGGCACAGGCCCGGGTGCAGGATCCAGTCTATGGCTGCGTTGGCATTCTCTGCGTGCTCCAGGTACAGTAAAGATGGTGCTGGTTGGTGTTTCGCTTACGTGTGCATTGCCTTAGCATGTCTGATTGCTCCATGTTTTGACACTCATTCTGTGTACTGCTGTAATGTGCAGCGACAAGTGGTTGCTCTGAGGGAGCAATTGGCAGCAGCCCAGTCACAGGCGCAGATGCAGTTAGGGAATGGTGGTGTTGATGTCAATGGGCAGGTGGAAGTTCCACAACAACCATCTCCAGCAGCAAATTTAGCCACAGGAGGGGCTTCTTGATCTAGATTTTGTTTTCTCAAATGGCTGCAGCACGGTGTGATGTATTTGTAGACGTGGTTTGCCAATTAAAGTGCTATGGTTTGAGACTTCCAAAGAGGATAAGAGGGTTTGAAATACCATATGGTTATGCAGGGGATGTGAACCTACTAGAAGTGATATGTTTTCACTGAAAGTCAGTGAATGTGAAATTGCGTGACATGTTGAAGTACTGTAGCATCGCTCACGAATCAACCGTTAGGGATTTCCGCCACCACTTGGGTGGGGCTCGGTCCCATCTCGCGGTGCAGCTGGCCTGCGCTCCGTATGCGGACCCAGCATCAGTGGGAAACGTGGCAGCGCTGCGTTGGCGGACCTCGAGACTTGCACCCTCCGCCCACCATTTTCCGTCCCCTCCCCACTTACCCTCGCGCGCTTGGCATGGCACGGAAACACCCAGCTGTGGCTGGTTTGACCGTGTGGGACCTGTGAATGGGCATTCCCAAGGCGCGTTCCTTTCAACCCAAACTTCTCCAGCCTGACCAGAACAAACCAAACTCAACCACGCAAAGCAAGCACCCACGGATATTCCTGAGGGGCACGATTCCGTTCATGCCACAAGTACCTGATGAATTGCATTCCCAAGAACAAGACACTCCTCCACGCACCAGTCTTCTCAACGTAGTTCTTGTGTTATGTCTTCAGCCTAGACAGAAGCAAGCTACGACGGCATCAACCTAATTAGTTCGGAAAACTGCTAGAGCGTTCGGCAAATATTTATGTGAAGATTGGTTTTTACACTTCCACCGTCGATTCCGGCTCTTTCAAGAACTCAATCTGCAGCTCAGGTTAAAGGCTCAGGATTGAGTAAAAACTCCGAAGTAATTCGTCGCTCAGGGCTCGAAGCAAGATGGGGGTCCTTTCGCGGCGAGTATTGCCGCTGTGCGCGGACGTCTTCTGCTTTCCCTGTCCGCAGATGCGCTCGCGCTCTCGCAAACCCATGAAGCGCTACAAGCAGTACCTCGCCGCGATTTTCTCAGCGTCAGATGTACGTCTTAGACCCCACTGAATGTAGTTCTAGCGATGACCAACCTCAATGGTACAGAAGCACCACTTTCGTTGTAGAACTCTTGCTCCCTTGTTCGCGTCTCATCCTGCATTCCAGTTCCACCTCTCCGCGTCTCCCGGCTGTTCCGTTTGTCTTCGACCAGAAAGGAAACGTTGACGAGAAGCAGATAGGAAAGCTCGCGGATTACGCGGCGGGAAACCCGGACCGCATTCCGAAGATCGTGGCGAAGCTGGAGGAGCGAGCCATTCGAGAGCTGCGCGCCGAGCGGTTCAACTCGCTACCCGCCGTGGCTCGGTCGTACTCGAAACTGCTCTCCTCGTGTCAGAGCTCCCTGTGAGTGCATATTCACTTACCACCTCTCTGCATCGAATGACACCCCCTGGCCTGGCCTTCTGCCATTACTTCCCCCATCCCCAACCCACAGCAAACAACCTCACGTCACTCGCATCCCGGCGTTGATTTCCTACGTTTCCTCACCGTCTCCCAACTCTCTCCTTCTCCCTGCCTCTAAACCTCCCCCCTGTTGGCTCTTTCTTCGTCGTCGACAGCGCGCTGCTGGCGTGGAGCGTGCTGAGCGTGGTGCAGAAGCTGCTGCAGAGCAAGCGAGTGGACGTGCGCGTGCTGGGCTGCGACCTGCTCGCGGATTTCGTGGACTGCCAGTCGGACGCCGCGTACGCCGCGCCCATTCAGAAGCTGTGCCCCACGCTCGTCGCCATGGCGCACGAGGCCGGCTCGCAGGAAGACTCCCGGGCCGCCAGGTCGTCCGCGTTAAGAGCTATCGCCGCTGTGGTTAGTACACTGTGCACAAAGACCCGCTGAGCTGCATTGCGTTCCTCCTGCGATTCACCCCGTGTCATGCTCCGCTTGCCACGTGCTTATTACGGCATGCAACGTGTCATGCCCTCGGCGTTGCCTCACCTGATTCCTTGCTGCGTGACGCCCCTCTCCCCTCACCCCTCTTCCCCCCCGACCAATACAGATCCTCTTCGTCTCTTACTTCTCCCAGCCCTGCGACTGCCTTGACCAGGTAACCTCCCACCACCCCCTTTCCCCTTCTTCGTCCGTGTCCCTCTCACTCCTTCCCACTCCTTTCCATCCCCGTCTATCGTTTTCGTGCCTTAACCAAGTAACCTCCCACCAGCCTCCCTCCTTTACCCCCCCCCTCTCTCATTTAACTTCCTTTCGGTCCTGTGTCGTGACCAGGGCAGACCGCCATTCCTCCAACCCCACAAGCTGCACGCAGCAGCATATGCAGGTACAGGGCAGGCCCAAATCTTCATTCCCATCCCCCCCTTTTCCCTCTTCGCCCGTGCCCCTGCAGCTGCTGGCGGCCGTGCTGGACAACTACAAGCCGCACGCAGCAGGCGCCGGGGACGAGGGGGCAGCAGCAGCGGAGAAGGTGCGGGAGAGGACGCACGAGGCTCTCAAGAAGCTGACTCTTCAGCAGCAGCAACAACAGCAAGGGGGTGGTGGCAAGGAGAAAGAGGGGCTGCATCAGGAGAGGAAGCTGGTCACTCCACTGCCCTCCAAGTCAGTACTATCCCTTACTCCTTGATTTCAGAGCACCTCGCCTTCCTACCTCTCTCACGCACGCCCTTTTATTCTGAGCTTCACGCTCTCGTTTTAAAACGAAATCTTTTTCTATTCCCCCGTTGCCCCCCATCCCTTCTCCCACCTCCCAGGCAGGAGCTACAGCACCCAGAAGTGGCAGCGTTGGTGGCGGTATGGGCTCTCGCGCACATGTTTGCAGCCGCGGTGCCTCTCTCCTCACAGCAGGTGCTGGCGCATCTGCTGCTCTACCTCTCCAACGGCTCCCACTGGGCCGACTTCGAGGCGCCTCAAAACCACTGGGTTGCACCCCTCATACAAGTCTTCGGACTCTAACTCACTCCCCATTGCCCCCGATCCCTTCCCCCACCCACCAGGCAGGAGCTACAGCACCCAGAAGTAGCGGCGCTGGTGGCGGTGTGGGCGCTGGCGCACATGTTTGCAGCCGCGGTGTCCCTCTCCTCGCAGCAGGTGCTGGCGCATCTGCTGCTCTACCTCTCCAACGGTTCCCACTGGGCCGCGCCTGCTAGCCAAGGCGACGCAGCAGCAGCAGCAGCAGCGGGGGCAGGGGCGGAGGCGGGGGCGGCAGGCAGGGGAGGGGTTGCAGGGCAGATGTTAGAGGATATCTGTCTGGCTCTCCGGTTCCTGGGTGAGTGGTCGCGTTACTAGCAGGTATTCACCATAGAGACTTGTCATATTTTTGGGTCGTACACAAGGGGAGGGGTTTCAGGGCAGTTGTTAGAGGATACATGTCTACTCTCCGTTTCCTGGGTGGGTGCATGTGTTCCTGGCAATTTTTTTTGGGGACTCCCCGCGCCCTCCCCCTGTACTTCCCCGTCCACTACTCAGCCTTCTTCTCTTCTTTCTGTCTCTCTCCCTTACTCCCTCCCCGACTCCCGCTTCCCAGCCACTCGCTCTCCTTCGCCCACCAAGGAGGAGCGGCGGCTCCTTCTGGCGCTGCTAGCAGCAGTGATCCGCCACGCGGACTCCTCCCCCGCCCTGCGCTCCCCCCGCATGCGCCACGACGCCCTTGCTGTCGCGGGGGGGCTGCAGATGGCGCACCTGCTGCTGGCGGACGGGGGGAAGTGGGCGGACGGGGGGAAGGAAACCGGGGGACAGGGCGCAGGGGGAGGGCCTGGGATTGGGGAGGAGAAAAGGGAGATTAGCGCAGGGGGAGCGGGAGGGGCGGTGAGCATGAGAGGAGGGCCGGAGGCAGCGAGTGAGGTGCAGGCTGTGGGCGACTTATTGCGGATACTGAAGCGCAGTATAGTGGAGGAGAAACAGGGGGGCGGCATGGACGATAATATCATAGGGGAGGGGCAGGTGGGGGGTGGCGTGTCGTTCAGACGGAGACAAGGCGAGCAGCCTGCTCTGCAGGAGCAGGCGCTGAAGCTGCTGGTGCTCGTGACATTGTTGCATGTGAGTAAGGCTTGTTTGTCTGTATGTGCACCCTCCTTACTCGCCAATCCCTAGTGATTCTTTTTTTCTCTCACATCTCTCAATCCCTTCACTCTCCGCCGCCCTCCTCCCCACTTGCCCCCCTGCCTCCATGTCCCCCTTCCCCCCTGCTCACCTGCCCCTCTCACTCTCCCCCTTTCCCTCCTGCTCCCCCTGCACCCCTGCCTCGTCCCCTTCGCCCCCCACCAGGCGGGCAGTCCCAGGGACCGAGCAGCGCTGTTGTTGGACGACACTGCAGTGTTCCTCGAGTCCCTGCCGTCCCTCCCCTTCACTCCTTTCACTCCCCTGTCTCCCTGTTCCCTCCCCACAAACCAACCACCAGGCGGGCAGTCCCAGGGAGCGAGCAGCGCTGTTGCTGGACGACACAGCAGTGTTCCTCGAGTCTCTGCCGTCCGACCCCTGAGGCTCCTGGGCCCATGCATGCATCCTCCTCGCTCTCAACCTGTGTGAATTCCTCCCCCCTCCCCCTCCCCTCTCCCCTACCCTCACACCAGGCGGGCAGTCCAAAGGACCGAGCAGCGCTGCTGCTGGACGACACGGCAGTGTTCCTCGAGTCCCTGCCGTCCGACCCCTGGGGCTCCTGGGCCACACTCGTTGCTGCAGAGGCTGCTGCCGCCGTTGTCGTGCTGCCCGTGGCTGTGGCCGTGGAGAGAAACGAGGGGGAGGAGGGGGGGGAAGGGGATGAGGGGGAGGAGG